AAGCTTAAATGCAAAGTGGTCAATATAGAGAAGATACTGAGGAAACGAGGCTTCTCTGAGTTTGGCAACTTGTATCTATGAATGCATGAACCCTGTTGAAGTTGACTAGGAAGGAGTTTTGGAGCTTACTGCTCCCAATACTCTAAGGAGATGAAGTCACAAAGCAAAGTTATTCAGAGGCCTGCCCCTAGGTTCAGGAGTTAGCAGGGACCATGTGGGACTTTACAATACTGGGAATATAACAGCAGGTTCCCACCCAAACCCATGGAGGTAACACCATAGTGTCTTCCGGACTTCGCCCTCTGCTCCTCCCCATCAGGGGGCAGCATTCCCTCACTCACCATGTTATGCTTCTCCATTTTGCCAAAGTTCTCGGATTATTGTCTCTCTGCAACAGCAACTGCACCCAAAACAGGAATCCACTGGCGCCAGCTCCTCTTCAAAGCCAGGCCTGAAGGCGGCTGCCCTTAAGAGACCTCTACTGCTTCTGACTGGCAGGTCATCTGGAATGCTGATTGGCTAGTGAGTCCTGAGTGGCTAGAGCACTGCCCATAGGGGTATAGTGTGCTGAAAGAGACACAATACTTGTTCCTGTCCAATCCATTTACCCCAACAGAGATCTGAGACCATATGCATTTCAATAGCACTTGCCTTTGTCTACAAAAGCAGTCAACGTCATCTTTTTTTTTTTTTTTTTTCGAGACAGGGTTTCTCTGTGTTTTTGGAGCCTGTCCTGGAACTAGCTCTTGTAGACCAGGCTGGTCTCAAACTCACCGAGATTCGCCTGCCTCTGCCCCCCCCCCCCCAAGTGCTGGGATAAAGGCGTGTGCCACCACCGCCCAGCTCAATGTCATCTTCTTGCACTCCTAGGAACTTTCCCTTTTTCTTCCAGCACACTATGTGACTTGTACGGTGCACTGTGCTAGGTGGGTGGAGTAATTCCTGTCCCACAGAGGTAAGGATGCCTGGAATACTAAGAACAAAAGAGAGTTTTAAAATTACAAAATGAAATATTTGTTCTGTGGCTTCATTCTGAGGTCAGATGAACTGTAGGTACTTTTTACATGGTTTTCACAGGGATTTTACACAAAAGGAAAGAGAAAAGCAGGACCCATGTCTCAATCAAGATGATTAGTCTTTCCCCCATCAGAAAGCTGGATAATGGCTCCATTGCTTTATGGGTTTTATTCCTTAAATTCGAAGCAAACTCCAGGCAACTGAATAGTAATAAAAAGAGTAGTGTTCATGAAAATTTGAATACATAGAGAATAATGGAGCTAGAAAAAAATGTCTTTATGAGCACTATTGTTAGCCAGCACATCTCCCTCCTTGGTCAGGTAAATAAAATATACAACTGCAGTATTCAAGATTCTCTACATGAACAGGACAGATAGAATAAATCTCACCATGACGTAAAAAGCAAGCTTATTAGAATGTCTGACAAGCTGTTGTTCAGGTGCCTTAAGAACAGCTGCTTACCAATGGCAATTGAAGAATCCAATAGCTTGCTTCTCAGCCTTTTGAATCCAGTAGCTGTTCTGTCCACAAGGCTCTGTGACTCAGCTAGTTTTAAGTATTCACCAAAATTACAATGAAGTAGGCACTAATGCTAGTAAAGGAATGAGCTTGGTAAGCAGAGCTAGAGCACAGAGGCAAAAAAAGGACTTTTCACTCGGGAGGCAAAGGCAGGCGAGTCCAGCCTGGACTACAAGAGCTAGTTCCAGGACAGGAACCAAAAGCTACTGAGAAACTGTGTCTCGAAAAATTTAAAAAAAAAAAAAAGGACTTTGCTTCTTCATCAAAATACTTTATATGTGACTGCTGTTAGCAGAATGGGAGTTACTGATTAAAGTTGGGTCATAGTCTTTGTATAATTCAGTTTTTTTTTGTGATTTCAAGACAGGAGTTTTCTGTGTATTTGTAGAGCTCATTCTGTAGATCAGATTGATCTCAAACCAGAAAATCCCACTACCGCTGCTCATGAGTGATGGTGTTAAAACTGTGCACAAACATGGGCTGGAGAGATGGCTCACTGGTTAAGTGTACACAGAAACCAAGAGGGTTAAGGTGGGTCTAATCATCTCAAATTATATGGATTAATGTAGGATTTTCTGATTTCTAAACCTTAAAGTAAAATCTCTCAGGTATAATCAATTCTTTGTGTATAACATGATCCCAGGGGTAGTCAGTTTTGACTACCAAAAATAGACATTTCAACAGCCAAGACAGAAGAAATGAGAAAAAAATTCTTGCCTGCAGAAGGCACAAAAAGCATGGGAGTTGTTTTCAAAACAGTGTTTTCCCCAACAAATGAAGCATGGGGATTTTATATAGGGAGTCTGTTTGTATTATTTTTATTTTTTTTTTGAGACAGGGTTTCTCTGTGGTTTTGGAGTATGTAGGGAGTCTGAACATGGTCATGCAAAGTTCTCCCTTTCCTGGAGCATGCTCAGTTAACAAATCCACTTCTAACCATAATCACAATGTAAAAGCAGAGACTCTTAGGGACGTTATCCTACTTAACCAAAAGGCAGAGAGAGAACATCCAAATTAACAAAATCATAAATGAAAAAGTGGGCATAGCAACAGACACTAAGGAAATCCAGAGAATCATTTCATCATACCTCAAATCCTGTATTCCACAAAATTGGAAAATGTAAGGTAAATGGACAATTTTCTGAATAGGTACCACATACCAAAATTAAATCAAGACCTGGTGAACAATTCAAATACACCTATAACCTTCAAGTAAATAGAAGCAGACATCAAAAGCATCCCTTCCCCTAAAAAAAAGCCAAGGACTGGATGGTTTCAGTGAAGAATTCTGCCAGAACTTCAAAGAAGAGGTAACAACAATACTCCTCAAATGGTTACACAAAATAAAAACAGAAGGAACATTTCCATACAAACATTTCCATTTTATGATGTTACAGTTACCCTGATACTAATTCCACACAAAGAATCAAAAAGGATTACATGCCAATCACCCTCATGATCATTAATGCAAAAATATTCAATAAAATACTGACAAACTGAATCGAAGAACACACCAAAAAAATTATTCACCATGATGAACCTAGATTCATCCCAGAGATGCAGAATGGTTTAACATATGAAGCATGTGGTCTGTCAATGTAATCCACCATATAAATAAATTGAAAAAAAATAATCATCTCATTAGATGCTGAAAAAGCATTTGACAAAATCCAACACCCCTTCGTGATAAAGGTCTTGGAGACATGAGAGATACAAGGAAGGTATCTTAACATAATAAAAGAAATATACAGAAAGCATAGGGCAAACATCAAATTAAATGGAGAGAAACTCAAAATGATTCCACTAAAATTAGGAACAATTCAAGGCTCTTCTCTCTCACCATACCTAGGAAACATAGTTCTTGAAACTCTAGCTAGAGAGAAAAGAAAACAAAAGAAGATCATGGGGATCTAAACTGGAAAGTAAGAAGTTAAGCTTTTGCTTTTCACAGATGATATGACAGTATACATAAGTGACCCCACAAACTCTATCAGGGAACTCCTACAGCTCATAAATACCTTCAGTAATTTGTCAGGATACAAGATCAGCTCAAAAAATTCAGTAGCCCTCCGATATAAAAATAAAAAAGCTAAGAACGAAATCAGAGGAGCATCACCATTTACAATAGCCACAAATAATTAAAAATATCTTCAGGTAACAGTAACCAAAGAAGTGAAATACCTATTATTACAAAACTTTAAATCTTTAAAGAAATAAACTGAAGAAAATACAAGAAAATGGACAGATGCTCTTGGATAGGTAGAATCAACTTGATAAAAATGGCAACCCTACGAAAAGCAATTAATATATTTATGCAATCTCCATCAACATCCCAAAACTCTTCTTCCCAGGCCTTGAAAGCACACTACTCCAATTTATAGCAGAAAACAAAACACACACAATAGCCAGTCTCGTCGACAGAAAAAACTACTGAATTCTTCACTTGATCTTAGACAAAACGTTGAGAAGTGATGGACTGGATTTTTCCAATTACCATTGCTAGCAAGGTATTTTTAAGTTACCTGGACTACAGCTTGTGAGACATTCTAATAAACCCACTTTTTACATAATGGTGAGATTCATTCTACCTGTCCTGGTCATGTAGAATGTTAAATACTGCAGTTGTATATTTTATTTACCTGACCAAGGAAAGAAATGTGCTGGCTAAAAATAGTGCTCATGAAGACATTATTCCTAGCTTCATTATTATCTATGTATTCAAATTTTCATGAACACTACACTTTTTTTTTTTTGGTTTTTCGAGACAGGGTTTCTCTGTGGTTTTGGAGCCTATCCTGGAACTAGCTCTTGTAGACCAGGCTGGTCTCGAACTCACAGAGATCCGCCTGCCTCTGCCTCCCGAGTGCTGGGATTAAAGGCGTGCGCCACCACCGCCCGGCAACACTACACTTTTTTATTAGCATTCATTTGCCTCGAATTTGCTCTGAATTTCAGGAATAGAACCCATTAGGCAATGGAGCCATCATCCAGCCATCAGTTGGGGAAAGACTAATCATCTTGTTTAAGATCTGGTTCCTCCTTTTCTCTTTTCTGTTGTGTGAAATCCCTGTGAAAACCATGTAAAAAGTACCTTACGTTCATGTGACCTCAGCATGAAGCCACAGAACAATCATCTTTAGTGACCTTAAAGTTATTTTTAGCTGTTAATACTCTGTGCACCCATCCCCCTGTAGGACAAGAAATCCCTGCATACACCTAGCACAGCACAGTGCACAGTACAGGCTAGCTAGGCACACTGTGTCCTGGAGGAAAAAGGAAAAGTTCCTATGGAGTGCAAGATTGTGAAAGTGTCTCCTTTTGGAGCAAGGGGCAAGTGCTTTTGAAATGCAAAGCTTGGACAATCTAGAAAAGATCTTTGACTCAGGTGGAAGGAATGGCCAGGAACCACTGTACTGTGTCTTTAAGCACACTATAGCCCTGTGGAGAGTGTTCTTGCCACTCAGACCGCACCAGCCAATCAGGCCCTCCAGGTGACCTGCCAGTCAGAAACAGTGCAGGGTTCTTCCGGGCACCCGCCTTCAGACTTGGCTTTGTGGAGGAGCTTGTGCCAGTTGTTTCCTGTGCTGTGCTGAAGTTGCTGCTGCAGGGAGATGACGATCTGAGAGCTTTTGCGATCTGGGGAACCACAACATGGTGAGCTAGGGAATGCTGTCTCCAGATGGGGAGGAGCAGAGGGTGAGGTGCGGCAAACAGCATGGTGCATCCTTGCGTGATCTGTGTGGGAACCTGCCGCCATATTCCCTGCCTCGTGAAGTCCCTTGTGGTCCTGTTAATTCCTAGACCTATTGCTATGTGCTTAATCTGCTTAGAGAATTGGGAGCAGGGTGCTATGTATACAAACATCTTTCTTCTCAACTTTAACTTGCCTTACTCAGAGAGGTCTAGTTTCTCCAGTGTCTTCTCAAAATTGAGTACTTCCATAAATCTTGATTTGTGTTTAACTTCTGAATGGTATCAAGGCAGCTCACCTGTTGGGTAGCGCTGCACTTCTAAGCTGCAACATAGAAGAGTTGAATTGCTGATATAAAGAATTTTCCAATGCCTTGGAAATAGATCAGTCTCACAAAGTAGAATTAGCTGGGGGAGGACTGCCTCTAAATCACCCAGAAGATAAATGTATTTTAATCAGGGCTGTTAGAGATTAGGATGCTAGGGCACACTTTGTTCAACTGGATTGTCCAGATATTTAGCTCCAAACTGCTACAGAGAAGCCACCACTGATTTAAAACCAGACACCACGCACATGCTCATATAAAAAAAAACCCTCAAGCAAGCTTTTCAAGGAGGCATTACAGGTTCCTAAACAACCTTAAGGCTTGATGTGGCTCAAAGTTCCAGTTTTCTTCTTATGAAAAGCACAGTTCTTCCAGATGGGCAATAGGACACCAGGTGACATATATTTGAAATGCCAAACATTGTTTTGCTAAGGAGTTACCTGATCAATCAAGGGTTTTATTTATTCCCTCTGGCAGAGATCAGGGACATTCCTAGAAGATCTAGTAACAGCCTGGGGGCTAAGTCTTGTGAGTTTCCCTAAAGACCTGATGTATTGATAATAAAACAGAGCTCCTTCTCTAAGGAATATTCTTTGGAGAGCTGGTAATGATCTGGTGCCAAGGCCTTTGTGGAGGGGTTCCTTTAGGACCAAGAACCCAAGCCTTTCACCATATGGAGCTATGGTTATCAATCCCCAGGCCACTGTGCTCTTTAGTAAAGTTCTTGAGATAACCTGTGTTCCAATTGAGTAGAAATGTCTGACGAACCTCCTCCCAAATTCACATGATATTGTTTACTGACTTCTTATAATTCTCCCATTTCCTTCCATTTCCACTCTGGAAGGATCCAAGTTGCTATTCTTCTTTTACTCCTTTTTAATAATATTTTGAAACAGTCTTTCTCTGTAGGACTGTCCTGACTATCATGGAACTTACTGGGTAGACCAGGCTGTCCTTGAACTCATAGATCTCCCTTGGCTCATCAAGGGTATGTTCCATCAATGCCCAGCAAGTTGCTGTTTTTCTCAGGAAGCTTACTAGGCATCTGCAAGACCTCCCCACCCTAAATTTTTAACTTTTCACATTTTACTTTTCCTAACTTATCATACCCTGTGACCTTCAACTCAGGACCCTTTTACTGAAGCATGATCTGCTGATTCAGGTCACCAGTGTACATAAGAAATTATGCTGGAAATGTATTTGCTCTGTAACTCTCCTATCTGACTAAATGTCTAGCCTGGCAAGTTGTCTGTTTCTATTTCAGTTATTGAAAGTGTAACCTAGAGCCTAATCCTAAAGGAGGCTTAAGGACAACAGCAAATGTGAAATCTGTCTAGCTGATTCTTCTTTGAGCATTAGCCAGAGATTGATGTATACCATCATTAAAGAGGTCTTTCTTTATTAATCTCCTAAGTGTATGATGTGATTTCTCAATGGAAAGGTGTATTAATTCTAGAACAGCTGCATTTCCATCCTGTTAGAAAAATAGTTTCTGAGACAAATTCTTATTTTGACTCAGGTGTCCTTGGTATACTACACTCTCAAAATTCCTATAAAAAATGACCGTAAAACCTCACAGGTTTTTTTTTTCTTTTGTTTTTTCGAGAATGGGTTTCTCTATGGCTTTGGAGCCTGTCCTGGAACTAACTCTGTAGACCAGGCTGGTCTCGGACTCACAGATATCTGCCTTCCTCTGCCTCCCGAGTGCTGGGATTAAAGGCATGCACCACCATTGCCCACCCACAGATTTAGACTTACACATTTGAGTCATGTAGTTGACCATGCAATGCAGTCACTGTAAAGGATGTGCATATGGAGCATACCTTCTGTCTTCAGACCAGAATAGGATGAATAGTTTATTGTGTACACTGCAGGGGAAACAGTAGAGGCAATCAAATATTGAAGCCACCATTATGAAAAAGGGTCTGATTGTGGTAGGTTCAGTGAATTTGTAATTTCCCAGCATGTGTTATTAATTTAATCCCATGTGATTGAATGCATATCATTTGTGGGGGTGTACAGATTGGGAAGGTCATCTTGAGCCAATGAACATTGAATTTGCAATTAGGCCACTATCCTGTGCAGATGTGGTTGATCTTGCTTGACACAGTTATGTCAACTCAGAGATCTGAGAAACAGGCCATTGACTAACTCTTTTTTTTTCAATTTATTTATTATGTTTACAATGTTCTGTCTGCATGTGTCTCTGCAGGCCAGACGTTGGCACCAGATTTTATTACAGGTGGTTGTGAGCCACCATGTGGTTGCTGGGAATTGAACTCAGGACCTGTGGAAGAACAATCAGTGCTCTTAACCACTGAGCCATATTTCCAGCCCCCCCATTGACTAACTCTTATGTGTCAGGTTACTGATCTCAGCAGCCAACATATGTATATGGGCACCATCAATCTATCTTTCATTAATGACATCCCCTCTCTTATTGAAGGTCCTACTCTGTCAAAGTCAATGTAGAAAGTTTTATTTAATCTTAAAAGTGCAGTATTTTTGTCATTTAAAAAATCACTTATTGGTGTCATTTTCAGTTATTCTCTTTAAGTGTATTGTTGCTCTTGTCTCTGTTTTTGTTCTCCAAATTTTTTTTTTTTTTTGCTTTTTCGAGACAGGGTTTTTCTGTAGCTTTTGGAGCCTGTCCTGAAACTCCCTTTGTAGACCAGGTGGACCTCGAACTCACAGAGATCTGCCTGCCTCTGCCTCCTGAGTGCTGGGATTAAAGGCTTGCCACCACCACCAGGCAGTTCTCCAACATTTCAAAGTCACTAATATTTGCATTTTATTTCTTTCAAGTGATGTTGATTATTGATTTCTGTGTAAAGCAATGTGCCCTATAGCTTAGGCTTGCCTCATGCTGTGTAATTGAGGATCATTTTGAACTCCTAATCAATCTTTCCTCTGCTGCCAGTGCTGGGAAAACAGTTCTGTAACTCCTTACAGGTTTGACCTTGATTTGTAAGTGAGAAAGAAAAATAGAGTAGTTAATGAGTGTCTGCTGATCTTTCTGGCTTTTGTTGGGGACTTAGAAGCAGAGAGACCTGTGCAAAAGTTGAGCTCATTGACCAACTTGAAGCTGGTGGAGACACAGGGCAGAAACAAAAAAGTTGGCCGGGTGGTGGTGGCGCACGCCTTTAATCCCAGCACTCAGGAGGCAGAGGCAGGCGGATCTCTGTGAGTTCGAGACCAGCCTGGTCTAGAAGAGCTAGTTCCATGACAGGCTCCAAAACCACAGAGAAACCCTGTGTTGAAAGAAAAAAATAAGGTTGGACTGAGGGTGAGAGCTTTCCTCCTTCAATAGAAGTTGAGATTAGCTATGTGGAATGAGGGTGTCAATTGTAGATGCTCTATGACTGTCCTGATTGACCATTGTTTGCAGTCCATAGACCAGAGCAGTCAAGAATCTTGGAAAAGGACTGACCATATCTTTAAATCTAATTGCTCTATTTACAGAAGTTCATCTAAAATAGAAGATGTAGTTAAAATGTTGTGGCCCTGCTTAAAAGGACTGTTACTTTTCTGCATCAGGACATACATCTTTAGTAAAATATATGAGAAATATTTAATGTGCATGAATACAAATCCCTAGTCTCTGGAGCACATGGGCAGAAAGTGTGTTTCAAGTTTTCGAAATAATTTTTGAGATGAAAACTATGTCATATTTACATTCTCTTTGCTGCCTTCAAGTCCTAATATGCCTGAATTGTTTTCTAATTCATGGTCTGTCATTTTGACAACAGTTACAAAGTAACCACAGTTACACAGTAAGAGTACTGTGTACTTTATGAATCTGACATGATTTTCTCCAAAATTTCGCATCTCTCAGACAAGGTGATGGCTGCACTGGAAAGTAAGTGTGTAATGGAATGTGCACACAATGGGCCCTGCACTTTGGATGAGGAACAGGATGTGTGTGCTCTAGGAGAGTGGAATAATGTGTGCTAAATACAAAGTTTGTTTTTTTTTTTTGTTTTTGGTTTTTCAAGACTGGGTTTCTCTGTGGTTTTGGAGCCTGTCCTGGAACTAGATCTTGTAGACCAGGCATGTCTCGAACTCAAAGAGATCCACCTGCCTCTGCCTCCTAAGTGCTACAATTAAAGGCGTGAGCCACCACTGCCCGGCAAATAGAAAGTTTTTAAACTGGGGCCCTGTCTGCTGGGCTGGGAGGGCAGAACTGGAAGGGCTGTGCTGTCTGAGTCATTTGATCTCTGATCCTCCAGTAGAAAACCTGCTAATATTTTGAGTCTTAGCTGGGAGGTCCTAGGCAATGAGGGAATTCTGGGAAGCACTGACAATCAAGAGTACTAGTGGCAGATAGTTTGTGGGTTATTTCCATGACTCTCCTCTGCCTCTGTAGGAGGTACCTTTAAGGAAGACCACAAGCTATCCCTTGCTGAGTGGGGGTGGTGTATAGAGCAGGTCTGTTGAACTGTTATTTCTGCTGTGATTTGGAAGGATCATGAGCCAGACTGTGGTTATGTTGGTTCATGTGGTTCATGCTGACAGTGGCCCTTGTTCTCTGAGCCTCCCTGTGTGTAGATTTAGTGGGGAAGGGGAGACTCTGCAGCCCTGGAATGGAAAGATATGATGCTGGTTGTATCTATGTCCAGAGTATACACATGGGCACTG